TAAATAAATAAATAAATAAATAAATAAATAAATAACAATCAGAATAAACTTCTGCATTTCATATACTGTTTTCCTGCTTTGGTTAGTGGATTTATTGTACATACATTATTGCACATTTACATATATTGTAAAGAAAAAGATGGAACTTTTATTTTAGCTGACAAAATACAACAAATACAGTTTTTTACATTTAAAAGTTAAATGGCTGGTTCTTTACTATATTTTGCAGCCTTTAAAATGTACAAACTTTCACTTTATACATTGTGAAAATAATCTAATCTGACAGTCTCGGTACATTAATTTGGTTGATCACTTGTTTTTCATTGATGATAATCTGCCCTCTTCTCTAAATAAACTACAATTTGATATTTGCTTTATAGTAACCCAAAAACAATGTGGCACTTAGAATATCTAACCTATCTTTATTGTTTAGCATTGATTTTGTGCTAGTATTTTGTAATCAAAGGTGGAAATAAATTATCAAGCAGGCATGTTGTTTAATGCATCTATGAAAAGCTTGCATTGACMTATTTGGGTTTTGCCCCATCACAGAAATTTAGATTTTTAATAAAAGCATATATTACTGTATATATACCTATTTTTAGCTAATTGAATTCTTGGTTCTTGTTGGCCCTGTTAGTTCATGTTTGTTATAATGCTGACAACACAAATACAGCTTTTCAAACTATTATTTCAAAGGAAAAATCTGATCTATAAGTTATTAAAACATAACCTATGTTAATCACAGAGAGATTATGTCACTGCAAAGCATCTCACATAAGAATTGGCAGCACTACTGTGCTGTGGTCAATCATTTCCTGCTATCGATTGTGTAGGCTATTGTGGCAGATCATTGTTAACGTCTATCTGTGTGGATGTTCAAGTCACGTTGAATGTTGCGTAAACTAATAAGAACATCTTGTGTTAGCAGCCCCAATGAACAGAGTAATGCTTATTCATTTATAAAGTGTATAAAATAGTGTTATTGCTAATAAAATGCAGTGCTTTCTTAATGTGATACTGTGTTTGAACTGAAACTGATATTACAAAAAATGATGTAAGCATTTGTGTTTTCCCCTGGTTTTGCTTACTTCACCCAGTGTATCTCTTCCCCCTCACTGGTTGTCAGCCAGAGTTAGCATCACGTTTGCAGATCAGTAGCACAGTAATCCCATTGTTTCCTCTCGCTCTGGACTGAGTACATATTGGCTGTAAGAGAGCCGCATCTCTCCCTGCATCAATGCTGTTTTCTAAGCCGGCCCAAATCTTTCACTCACTGCAGCTTTTTCTGCTGCCGCCTGCTACAGCAGAATCCTGATTTCCAGGCCAACGAGTACAATGAACTCCAAACGTCATGACTCCTGCTGCACAAAAAGGGCCTGACCTTTATTTTTTGTCATCCAAATGATATCACTCTTAGAGCTAACAAACCAATAATTTTAAATCTGCTTTTTTTTCTTAATTACTGATAAGTACACTATCATCTTGAAGTAATTTGGTGTCATTTTTGGCTTTAATGAAGTAGAACGAATCATGTAAGATTTAAGATGGAGCATGATTAGCAGTTTATTAGAAACATTAAACGATTTGATTCACGCCCTCTGCTAAGATGCACACTCGTCGATATTGGTTCATGTTTTCTGCTGCAGGTTGTCTCTTCGTTTTGTGTAGCGCTTCTAAAAATAACATTAAAAGCATTCCCAACCTCATTAAAAATGTATTTGAACTGCATGGGGGGAGCAAAAAGATAAAAGTCAAACCAGCAATATGAGGAAACGCATAAAGATTGAGCTCATTAAAAACAATTACAGCCGAACGTGTGAGCWTCTTTTCAGTTCCAGTTATGAACAAGACTTTTTGTTTTAGGACAGAAATGATATTATTGGGCGTTTGTTCTTTTAAACTGACATTTCCTCTGTCTGCTTCTCACAGTCAATAAGCACAAACCATGGATTGAGACGACATATCACGGGATTGTGACGGAAAATGATGACAAAGTTATTCTGGACCCTCCTCTAATTGCACTGGACAAGGACGCTCCTTTACGCTATGCAGGTAAGAGAGAGATTTACATTTTCTGCTGCTCCTTCACCAAAAAATAAAAAATAAAAAGACTGTACTTTAAATTTATTTGCGACCATTTCATTGAAAAAAGTTGCCATTATCAGCCTATTCAAGTTTAGAYAAGAAACGGGTGGCACAAATGATGTAGGTTTCCTAAACATTTCAAGGACATTGATGTGTACTTTTAAAGACGCATGATCTGTTTGCTAATAAATTATTTATACGCCAAATTAAATAGCAAAGACAGCTGTACTTAACATGGAAGAAGAACCTCTAATCTATTCTGAGCATCAGGCTTTGAAAGTGCATCATGTTTAATGTATGAAGGTCTCCCTCCCTGCAGGGTGTTTTAATATGTATAAAGTTTAATTCTTCCCATTATAAAAGTGATATCTGAGATAAACTTGGTGCATTTTTACATATAAAATAGATGCTGTTTCAGCTGTTGAGTAGACAGGAAGTTTAACATCTTACCTTATTTTTTTAATTATTAATTAAATAATCTTCAGGAGCACGTGCGACCTCAAAGGCATTTTTATTTTTGATTTTTATGACTTGCCTTTCATACTGATGGACATCTGGCTACCATATCCTCCAGATTGGTCCTTTTGATTGCCAGATCAAAAAACTACTCATTTTTTTTCCCTTCCCTTTGGAAAGCCACAATTAACGTGCTTTATGTGCAAAGAAAGCATCGGCTCATGGGGTTTTTAATCATATCATGATTTACTTTGGCTGGGATTCAAACCACCAACTCATTGAAAATTATTTCCCACCATTTCACATCCCATGAGTTGAATGAGCTTTTGTTTCTGTTTTTTTTTTTTTAATATTACTGCTCTCACTACTTTTAACTTGATGTAAAGTTTTGACATCTTTGCATTAGACAAAAAAAAGGTGCCAGGTGTTCTGAATAGGCAGTATAGTCTTCAGACTTGATCAGTGTTGCTATTTTTAGGGTGGACAGGATAAACAAAAASCTCTGCATAATATTTATTTTCCTTTCACAGCAAATTAGAGCTGAAATACAGAGCTTGATGCTCCCACATTTTTCAGACGGGGCTCCTCTTTTTGATGTGCAACGTTCACAATTGGACTGCGTGTCCCTGTGAACTAGTTTTCTCTGGAGACAGAGCGAGCAGTCTGGCTTCACGTGGCAGCGGGGGTGAGCTGCTCTGTCATGCCAGATCCCCTCCAATTGGCCCATCTGCGCCGACTAAGAGGGTTCACTGTTAAGCTCAACCAACGGGCTATCAGAGGCCCAATCGCAGACCCTGAAGTCGGATCAGTGTAAATAAATGTTTGAAGTAGATGTACAGTTTATGAGTTTGTTGCTTATACAGCATAAAGCTGAGGGACTGTGTGTCTTTCTGCGTGTGTATCTGTTCTGATTTTAGTCTGCTTGATTGAACATGATGTGCTTGAAACTGAAGTAAAGAGCACAATGTTCCTGGATGGCTGTGCTCTAGCTGAAAAGTGAAACTCAAATTAGGGTTGGGCAATATTGGCAAAAAAATTAATCACGATTAATTGTGGTATTTAGTAGTGCTGGGCGGTATACCGTTTTGTACCGAATACCGGTTTTTATTTTTGTTATGATATGAATTTTTTGAATACCGGACATTCCGGTTTAAAAAGCGGAACGTTTCGTCGCGGCCGCCAGTGATCTGTTGTTTCCCGGGGACATTTTTCCTTGCTGCACCGCTATGTGCCTTAGCATGCTAATGTTTGGAGCAGCTAGTTGCAGCCGCGGGTGGCGATTCCGCTGCGTATATTGACTGACGTCTAAAAAAACATCCCGTTTTCGCCGTCGCTGAATGTAGTAAACACCTCTTCAGTGACGTGCACAGTTAGATGTAACGCAGTTAGTTAATATGGAGACGTTATGCTGATGGAGACTTAACGTGGTTCTATTGTGAAAAGCCCGCAGGAAGTAGTTCGTAGTGGAGTTGGAATTGACTGGTATGCAAGGTGAGTCGTGCTGATAATCTTTAATAAATAACATAAAACAATAAACCCGATCATAATCTTTTCTTAACCCTCCTCCTTCACGACTGGACCAAAATGCATGACTACTGTCTCCAACCACCAGTCAGAGAAGAACAGACACAGAGGAGGGAAACAGAGACACAGACAGAGGTACAGTAAAAGAAAAAAAAAGTCAAGAAGCAGGGTTTGTACATTTTATTATCAGCTGAGCTGTGATGAAAAGAAAAATACCATGAAATACCGTGAAACTGGTGAAAATGTTGAAAATACCGTGAAATAAAATTTTGATCATATCGCCCAGCTCTAGTATTTAGCCGATAACGATTAATTTGACGATTAATCCCCTGGAGTCCCTGGACACCCTTATGTCCTAGTCACATGACCAATTTAGTGGGAAAGATTTGCTCTTCGGAAAAATCTGTCCCAAATTGTGTCAAAATTACAGACTTCAGGTTTTACATCAATTTTTAAATTGTGCTGATAAATAAATTACAGAACTTTTTTTTAAATATTCGTCATATTTGAAGCAGAGAGGAGCAGCGAGTGGACTCTGCCTGGTGACATTAATCGTATTAATCGTCAAGTGCCAAAAAGTAATCGATTAATGTTTTTCCGACGATTAATTGCACACGATACGATTAAGCCCAACCCTAACTCAAATCAGGAATAAWTTTTCCCTCAGATCTGGTTATCTGATTCCTAGATGAATAGCAAAGTGACAGGTAAACATATTAGTGAATATTGAGACTGTTGTTARCTATATCTAATATTTAGCGTTGGTGATTAAACTACCCGCGTGGATCAAGATGAAATGTATGATCCCTGCTGAGAGAGCTGTGGGCCTAATGAAAAGCTGAGGAATTCCTAAATCTGTGGTGTGAACTTATCATTAAAGCTCTCATGACCGCTGAGGCCATAACTCCTACTGCGTGACGGGGCTTAACAGCAGCCTTTAATGTGAAATCCATCCATTAGCTGTGCCTGCTTGTCCTTCCTAATGGGAAATCTTTCCTGGTTGTTGAAAGGGTGAAAATTAAGTGACCACGTCCAGCCCTCCTGAGGCTGCAAGAGAAATTCACGACACTCTGCCAAGCACAAAAGAGACCACTTTGTGTTATATGTTGAAAGTCATTGTTAGACAAGGTGAAGGAATTGTCCACAAACTAGTTTCTATGAAAATGTAAAAATAACGACTCCTGAAAGACAAAACAAAATCAGCACTAGAGTTTAGTGCATTTTATCGGTTGTAATTAGATGTAGTTTCATCCTCGTTGACAAGCAATGACTCAAAACATTTTCTGCTTATTTTTACATGTTGCTTTTAAAAGTCTAATGTTTAAGTATGTGTCTTCTTCCTCAGTGTGTCTTCTTTGAGCTTCTAACTCTTCTCTTATCTGGGTTTATCTTCTCTCCCCYCCAACTTGTAGAGAGTTTTGAGGTGACCCTTACCAAAGAAGGTGATCGTGGGCTTTTTCTTCTGCCTTTTGCTTATTTTTCTATTATTCATTTAATTATTTCACTAATAACCCACTAACGCAAAAGCAGCATCCACACCGTTACACAGAACCTCCTGCCATGCTCTGTAACTTCCCCATTTTGGTTTGTCTGAACCTTCTACTTTTTCTCACCTCAGTTGTTATTATTATTATTTTCTTTTTTAGAGTTCCAAAAGCTGGATGAAAAGTGTGATGTGGGGCTGACTGTTCTTAGAAATATCTGTGCATGAGACATCCATTGCAGTTTGCAGGCCCTAACAGTTTTTCAGCCGTCACCAAAACCAAACCAAACAAAAGAAAGAAAGCTGCCTTAAAAACAGGAGTTTTTGGTCACTTTGTTGATGTTTAAAAATACAAATAAAAAAAAAAACACTGAAGGCTATGATAGCTATGTTCGTTGATGAAATCAAATCTAAAAGTCTGCACAAAAGGATTTCTTCCCTTTTTAGTTATCAGGACAATGTCATCATTACGTTCTGACCTTTAAAGTGATAGTTCAGATCTTCTGAAAGAATGTCCTGTGGAAAGTTATGAAGAATTATTGTTTACCTTGTTGTGGATGTGTACGGAATCATTTTGGAGAAAAATAGATTAGTTATAGCAGGTAGCTGTAGCACTTATAACAGGAATATCATAATATTTCTATTTKAATTATTCTGTAATGCAACAATGACAGGAGCATAATGGTTTTATAAAGCAGCTTTCTCATGAAATATTTTAAAGTTTTCAATCTTGTTTTTAATATGAATTCACTTTGCCCTCTTGGACTAGCACCAATCTGTGAAAAGTTAATCTATATTCGTGCAAACAGAGATCATTCAAAGCTATCTACAACATGTACAATATTAATTATTCATACCCTAACCACAGAACCAAATCTGAACTATCCTTTATCAAAAATGTCCTCAGATGCAGATTAACACTAACCAAGACTGTTCAATGATCATTGTAACACGTCTCTGCAGTAAGAGTGACTCCTGTGAACATCTCTGAAGCGTTCAAATGAGATTGCTGAGATTGTTAACTAATGCAAACTCTTTCTCTCCTGCTAAGTTTCTGTTGTTGCATCTTTGCCTCAGTGGATCTCTTGAGTTAATTCTCCACCACTAATCTCTACCATTAGCATGGCTGCAGATGTCATTTGATGTGGATGTCAAGCAAGTTGATATTTCTAACCCCAGTTCTCATCCAGTGCATTTTGTTTAAATACTGTTTTTGTACCGGTTCAGTTCTTTATGATTTCAGAACTTTTTAAAAATCATTTTGCAGTAGTTTTGAATGACAGGCAGGCAAAATTACACAGGAAGACTTCCTTTAATTATGCAAAACTTTTAGTGGAAGTGTAGCTAAAATTAAATTTCTTTCACAGATTAGTTTTGATGGCTGAATTGGTTTGATAAGCTTTTCCAATGTTTTTTTTTTATTACAAGTTTTTTTTTGTTAAAGCACTGTTGCCCAATAAAACAGGTTGAAAGTTAATTATTTTTTTACAACTATTTTGCTCTATGTACTTAATTTTTCAAGTTTGGTTTTATGACTTTGGTTTGTAATATACTGAGTACTCCTGTGAAATGCCTGTCCACGTTTTTTTCAGTTTCTGCCTGCATGACTGGATGCACTGGTTTCAAGTGGCTTGGAAAACACAGTGTTACTAAATGTCCCACACCCTTTCCCAACTACTCACCCATATGAAAGTGTGTTTATGGCTTCCTCCACAGACTCCATGCACTTCAGCCTACAACTCCCCGGCTCCCAAAATCTGTGGCTGATGTTGATTTATTTTGCGTGGATGTATTTGTTTTTAGTTGATCCATTTTTTTTAAATTATCGTTTACACTTGAAATATCCCAGCTTGTTTTTGTCAGTTGTGCTGAGCAAAACTGTTTTGACTGTCGACGTGTTCAGGTGAGATTTGCGGCTTCAGGATCCACGGGCAGAATGTCCCCTTCGAGGCGGTGGTCCTGGACAAATCCACTGGCGAAGGAGTCATCAGGGCCAAGGACAAGCTGGACTGTGAGCTACAGAAAGAGCACACCTTCACCATCCAGGCCTACGATTGTGGAGAAGGTCCCGATGGTGCCAACATGAAGAAATCACACAAGTAAGTGAACTGTCTTTGTGAAGTCTCATTTTTATGATCTGATCCCTGAGTTTCCATTCATCTGAATCAGCACAGTGCACTAACATATTCAGCTCACAGAAAATAAGAAAGAAAGGAAAATGAACATCTACCCTGTTGTATTTTAATTCTATGATTCAGTGTGCTGGCTTATCAAGCAAATTGTGTGGTTCAATAACACTGAAATGTTTTTTTCCCTTCAGGATGTTTTTGAAACTCAAGGTTGTGAGAATAAGTGATGTTATTTGTGCCTATGTGAAATAAAAAAAACAAAATGAAGTTATGCTCAAGTGTCAAGGGCATCCTGTTCCAGCTGCTATAAAAACACGAGACACTTGTTAAATTACTTTGGCCTGTGGGATGTTTTATCTTGACAATTTTATGTGATATTCTTCAGACTAAAAGATTGATCAACAAATAATCTCTAATGAAATCAGTTTGTTTTTCTRAAACAACCCAGAAGATAAGATTCGGTGTGGCGCTGTTTGACTTAGAGCCAGCTGATGTCCTCATGTGTTCTAGTTGCACAGATGATGCAGGATAATTGTGTTCATATTCAGCAAAGAAATTAATTACTTGCCAATACACATCACAGCATGTTCACTGCTCATTTACTACAATGTGTTAAAAGAAACAAAAGCTCAGTGCAAAAATGTTGTTTTTTGTTTGTTTTATTTGAAGCTCGCTCTGAAAATGACCAGTAGTTACACATTTAATAAAGTAAATCACATAAACAGTCCTTTTAGGGTCTTTATCCAAATCCAAAACTTACGGAACATTTTGCTGTTGTGAAAAATGCTTTCAACCCAGTGGTGTGGTGTCTCTGTCAGGGCGACTGTCCACATCCAGGTGAATGACATCAACGAGTACTCCCCAGTGTTCAAGGAGAAAACCTACAAAGCCACTGTTATTGAGGGAAAGAAGTACGACAGCATCCTGAGAGTGGAGGCTGTGGATGCTGACTGCTCCTTCCAGTACAGCCAAATCTGCAACTACGAGATYGTGACCCCCGACGTCCCCTTCACTGTTGACAAAGATGGTAAACATCTCCACACAATGTCCTTGTRTTTTAGCCTTTTGAAGGCTGGACTGTATTGACATAAATCACAATGTCGTATCGATTAATGCAGACACTGATGCTGCAAAGTCGTCTTTTAAAATTCACCTCAGGAAACAGCAACCTTTTAGTAACAAACAAAACAGGCTCCAAGATTATTATTTGCACACTGAAAAACTATCTCACATATCCGATAATAAGACCTCAGATAACAAGGATATGGATTTTAATTTTAGTCCAGCTCTTTGTTTTAACCAGTTTGTGACGGTGGGTTTAAACGCTCACTCACAGTAGCATTTTGACAAAAACATACCTAATTTATTGTAATGTCATGTTATAACAATATTAATAATACAGCTGACCCTTTAACTTTTTATCTCAAGGCATGKTTTTTTGCTGCAGATTGAGATATTTTCTCATATTCCTCAGTTTTATTTCATTTATTTTCAAACTTCAGCCTATTAGTGAAGTTGTTTCTTGCTTCATCAGGCTTTATCAAGAACACAGAGAAACTGAGCTATGGCAAAGAGCACATGTACAAGTTGACTGTGACCGCATACGACTGTGGAAAGAACCGAGCTTCCGAAGACGTGCTGGTCAAGATCAGCGTCAAGCCTACCTGCAAACCCAGCTGGCAAGGTATCAGAGCTTACCAAACTCTTTAGATGTGTTCGTGTTTAACAAAAGGGACCCGTCGGTGCAATTAACAGTTATTAAAATTTAAAGAGTTGAAATCTTTATGAATAACCAAACTCGGTATTTATATATCAGCATTAATCCCAACTTTTATGAAAAAAAAAGAAAGAAGAATTTGTCCACTTTTTCTCATTTTCTCAGGCTTCAACAAACGAATTGAGTATGAGCCTGGCACAGGTAGCCTGGCCCTTTTCCCCAGCATGCACTTGGAGACCTGTGATGTGCCAATCACCTCCATCCGGGCCAGTATCGAACTTGAAACCACCCACATTGGAAAGGGCTGTGATCGCGACACCTACTCTGAGAAGTCTCTGCACAAGCTGTGTGGTAAATAACACAGAAAATGACAAATGTTTATTTTTATATAAATATTTATGACAAATATTTGGTATCAAAAATCCTTTTGATAGACAAAAGTAGCCTAAATAATTAGACATACTGTATGTCCCCTGAAAAAGCACATAACTGGACATGTTTAAACAGAATCAGAATAATCCATGCATAAAACCTTTTTGCTGTATTTAACCTGATTACATTTTGTTCTTCAGGGGCCAGCTTTGGCACTGTGGAGCTCCTTCCTGCACCAAGCAGCTCTGCCAACTGGACTGTTGGTCTGCCCACAGATAATGGACACGACAGTGACCAGGTGTTTGAGTTCAATGGCACCCAGGCCATCAAAGTTCCTGATGGTCTGGTGAGCACCAAYATGAAGGAGCCCTTCACCATCTCTGTGTGGATGAGGCACGGCCCCGGTGCCCACGAGAAAGAAACCATCCTCTGTAACTCAGACAAAACAGGTAATAACTCTCAAATAGAACAAAATGTTTTGGTAAAAAAAAAACTGTCAACGTTAACAAGTCTCTGTAATTTACTGTATTTGATTCAATTCTGACTTTTCTAAAAGAGCTGTTTACTAAAGTCACAATAAATCTAAACCTAAGACAAGAACAGTTGAATAAACATCTACAGAAACACAGTTTGAAAAAACTTTTAGATATAAAACTGATATCTGGTATCTACTGAAGAGGTCAAACCTGAGAGCAGCTCTTTTTGGCCAATCACAATAACATGTTTTGTGGAATTGTCTCAGAAATTATTGTGATAAACGATAATATTTTTGGAGACCACTTTAAACTAATATAATGATCTCCTCACCCTTGCGTGGAAGCTTACATAAGTTTACGAAATTTCTGCACATAAAAAGAGTTACAAACTGACCAGAGATTGGAAAAACGACACAACGGCGGCCGAAACTGCTTTCCACTTCCTCTGTCCAAGCCAGTTTCTTCTCTTTGTGTCTTCCTCAGGCCTCATAAAATAACTGCGATCACCCCACCTGCTGCTTATGAAATCTACAGAAGTTTATGAAATTTACAAAATGTACGTGAAGTTACATAAAGACCGGGAGCGGAGTTTGTGAAAACAACACACAACAGCTACTGAAGCTGTAACATCGCTACCACCTCTGTCCAGTCCGACACAGATTATTCTTTTATGTGTCTTCCTATGGATTCATAAAATAATTGCGGCCACCTGCACAGGCTTATGAAGTTTATGGAAGTTTACAAAAGTTACGTTGTGTAAAAAGAAAACATCTTTGGCAAACCCAAAGGTCAGCACGGTGTCCTGAGGTGTTGCCAGCTGAAAGAAAGTGATGGAAAACCAAAGATGCTCCTTTAGCTAAATGCCTGTTCACAGGGCTCTCATGCTAGAGATTGTACCTGGTAAATACCTGACGCCAGAGCTCTCTCTTTCCTACGCTGAGTAGAAAAGAGACACAAAGAAAACGAAAATTGTCAAACTCATTTTAATTCATCGTGCGATTAATTAATTTATTGTTTATCGACAAGCCTACATACATGGGATGTTTACAAATTCTCCTGATTAAAATAGCTATTGTAACTCAGGCTCAGACTCAAACCCAGGCTATAATCAGCGTTTACGCTCAGCTGACAGCCTAACACATAGAAACACGTTTCTTCCTTTATTTTCTCTCTCACCACTGCTGATTACTCACTGACCACTCCAGTTTTGTCAGTGGTTTTAAATTCACTCACAGACTCCTTGATCTTGGCACACCCAGAGGCTGARCGGCTGTTCATCAGCTTCAGTGTAGCTGCTTATATAAGAAGGATTACATCAGACATCAGACCCTGGACAGGGTGCTCCCGAACCCGTGATCTCAACACACCATCCATGACCTCTATTTAGCACCAAGCCTGCTCGACAGAACCACGATTCTCACATTCTGTGATATAACTGTTGGGGTTTTAAAAGGGGAAAGGTGTCTGGATTCCAGCCAACAGGGCCCAGAGATGCTAACTTATGTGAAGATTTGATGTAAAAAAAAAGACAAAACAAAGAGGCTGACATGGCAACAAAACACTATAGGAGGAAAATCCTGAGGACCACAGAGGAAATTGGCATGGAGACGAATGAAATGACAGATTGATGAGAAGGAGCAAACCAAGATTATAAGTAGACTAGCAGTGGTGAGATAAGTGGAGACAGCTGAGACTAATCTGGTATGAATGGTTAACACAGTGTAAAGTATTTATTTTAGAAAGCATCAAGGATTTAATTAAGGTTTGTTAGGTTTTTTAAAACTCTCRTAATATTGAAAAAATCCTCATAAATCTGTTTTCTATCTATCTATTGGCTGCTTTTTTCCCAGCCTCGACTTTTACTACAGAAGATAAATTTAAAACTGCTTTCAGTTAAAAATCACTAATATATATTTTAGCCTTTTGTTTCCAGTGAGGACCGTTAATAAAATGATCATATTCCTCTCTGCAGATATGAACAGGCATCACTATTCGTTCTACGTCCACAACTGCCGGCTGATCTTCCTCCTGCGCCAGGATCCATCAGAGGCTGAGAACTACAAACCAGCCGAGTTCCACTGGAAACTGGACCAGGTCAGCTGCTTCTCAAACCCACTTTTAGACGACAACCTTTGATTCAAGCTGCCTGGCGAGCCATTACACGTCCAGTTGCAGGCCGCCATTCAGTTTGTCGCGCTCTTTTCCAGGTGTGTGACAAAGAGTGGCATCACTACGTGCTCAATGTGGAGTTCCCCACCGTTTCTCTCTTCGTGGACGGAACCACCTTTGAGCCTTTCATGGTCACAGAGGACTACCCACTGCACGCCTCAAAGATCGAAACTCAGCTCACAGTTGGTGCCTGCTGGCAAGGTAGATGTTTTTTTGGTTTTCTTATTTAAGAAAATAGTTTTTCATAAGATTTAGATTTTAATRTAACAAGTTTGTTGTTGTGTTACTGATTCTCTGTCTGTAACTTTATGTTTCTGTTAGATATTAAAAAATGTTTGCAGGATACTTTATATCCTTTTTGTTAGAGTTTATATAAAACAATAATGTTTTTATAGTTAATCAGCGCTGTATTAACTCGTCCTTGGATACTTAGTGATACAGCATGGCCTTTTTTGTAGCACCTGAATCTCTCCTGCAGATCCTCAAACTTCCTTCCTGTCTCTCCCTGCTCTCTCGTTTCCGTCCTTTACAGAAAACTCAGGACATGACAATGACACTGAAACGGTCCCTGAGACCACCTCAGGTTGCTCAAGTCTTTCCCTTACTCCACAAAAATGTCCATGTGTCCACAATGTCCCACCATGCTAACTGCTCAACTGCATCCTCATACCATTTTGACTAGAATGAGTCATTCCTAAATATTCTAGATGTCAAATATTTGTTTTTGGTTTGACATTCTTTGTCGCATGAGAAGGTTTTTATAAGTGGTGTGTTACTTCCTGGTTATTATTATTATTATTATTATTTTAATCCTCCATTTATTTGCTCTCCAGCAGCCAGGAAGATTGTTCTTTATTTATCCTCACGTTAAAACAAGCAGAGCAGAAATAGACACCTAATGACACACACACACACACACACACAAAAAAAAGCTCTTGACTTGGCTTTTCGTCCACTCTGGGTTTTATTTCAAAGTGTGACCTTGTAGCCAGAAACAGAAACTCCTACATATCAGATAACAAGCTTAAGCTGAGCACGAAAACGAACATCGCATAATTAATGTGCGACCTTGAGATGTAGAGTTTGACACTAAATCTGCAGTCAATGATTAGACTTTAGCTCATTTTATTCCATCAATAAAACATAGAAATGTTCAGGACAACAGATTAAATCAGTGCCTTTTTAAACGTTTTACAGTCCTGAAGATGACTGATATTTTGTAAAATTAGATTAACAAGAAAGAAATATCTTACTGTCCTGCATTATTCACCTTATGAGTTTCCTTTTTTTTCGTTAATGCCCTCTCCTTTTCACAGTAAGGCAGCAATTCACCTCATTAATTCCAGTTTTTGCATGTGCTGATGGCGTACATAAGCTCATCCATCACCTGCCTGTCTTGTCCTCTGGGCCTCAGGCCTTTAAAGGAGACACATACTAACTTGCATGAACTTCATTCATGCCAGCTTTTGCACATCGAAAACAGCATGCTTTAACCTTAACAAGGTGAAGTTCGTTGAATGAACTCTGTAAAAAAAACTCATKTGTGTGTGTGTGTGTGTGCTGTGCTGTTTTCCTCTCCTCGTCCCTGTTCTGGTTGGAACCAGGCGGAAATGCCCGGATGGCTCAGTTTTTCCGAGGGAATCTCGCAGGACTGATCATCCGCTCCGGAAAGCTGGAGAACAAGAAAGTGATTGACTGTTTGTACACCTGCAAAGAAGGACTCGACGTGCAGCTGCCTGAGGAGGTGGCTTCAGCTGTCAAGGTGAGGGCAGCGACTAGCAGTTTTTGAATATTCATGCTTCATGAAGGCATTTGGCTTTATTTGTGAACTGTAAAGGGGAAAAAAATAAAATTTTTGGGTAGCTTTTTATCACGTCTTCAGCTAAGCAGATGTCTTGCAGGTTTACAAATCAGAGTCAGGCTCACAAACCGTTACATCATTTTCTTTCCCCCAGGTTGAGTTCAACCCAAACCAGTCCTCACTGACTGTGGAAGGTGATGATATCGGTGCCTTCGACAAAGTCATGCAGCACATCTCCTACTTAAACTCTCGTCAGTTCCCGACGCCAGGCATCAGACACCTTCGCATCTCCACCACCGTCAAGTAGGTATTAGAAGAAACAAAGCTGGTCAACCTGCTCGGTCTGTCCTGCTGTCTCATCAAGCAGTTATGGTCATGATAAAATAAATGAATACAACCTCTTTTTGTTTATCAGTAAATAATCCTAAAAATTACATTAGTTTTCACTAGATTTTTAAAAGTATGTAAATACAGCCTCAGATGAACAACAGCACCTGATACAATACGGTTATTTATTTAACAAAACTGAAATCAAAATTCTGAAACGGTGTGTTGACAGGGTTCCCGTGGATCCTTAAGTCTTAGAAGGCATTGAATTCTTCGATCCAAAAATAAGGCCTTAATTAGCCTTAAAATGTCTTAAATCAATATTTCCGAGGTCTTAAAAATGTTAACACATTGTAAGTAGGATGATTGTATTTGTCTCGAATATTAAAATAATTAGTAGCATTTTTTAAGACAATTTACCAAATTAACTACAGCTAGTTGTTTTGTGTTAAAATAAACACTTGGGTAAAATTGTTGCTGTTTTTTTTTAATTTGTGTTTATTGTGAAGTTGGTCATAAATTTCCTTTCAAGTGGCATTAAAAAGTATTGAAAAGTCTTAGATTTAGCTTGCCTTAAGCTGTAGGAACCCTAGTTGAACATATTCAGAAAGCCACTTTAATTTTAAAAGGAGAAATATCAGCTTTATAAAAAATATCCACACATTATTTTTGCTAATGAGTCTAATAATTTCCCCCAGGTGTTTCAACGAGGACAGCTGCGTAACCGTTCCAGACGCTGAAGGCTACGTGATGGTGCTGCAGCCGGAGGAACCGAAAATCAGCCTGAGCGGCATCGACCACTTCGCTCGCAGTGCTGCTGAGTTCGAGAGCCCAGAAGGAGTGACCCTGTTCCCAGAGCTTCGCATCGTGAGCACCATCACTCGGGAAGTGGAGCCCGACGTGGAGTCTGAAGCCACAGAGGGAGCCGACGATGACCCCACTGGTAAAAGACGAGCACATCTAACTTTTCCCTTTGATCCCCATACCCCCGRTACTGGGGGTAAAACAGTTTTTTTCAGTTTTCTATTTCTTTTAACTTCTTTTAACTTCAGATCTGTCAGTTGAACCTAGACATGTTTGGTATCAAAAGAAACCTAAGAATCTTGGCCAAAAGCTCATGGAAACTATTTTTACATTCACCAAACAGTTCAAACGACAGGCAGTTGAATCAGAAAGTAAACAAATTGTACAAAATGGCATCATTGCAAATCTGTAAATACATTACAACAAATCTGTAAAGGAAATATTTTTGACATTATTTTTTTAAAGCAAGTCAAAGTAGTTGTCTAAATATGTAATAAAGTGTTGAACGTTTATTTTACTTGATTTTGAGTGAATATGGTCCAACTGAAGTCAAGTATAATTTCTCATTATTTTATATAATATTAGCATTTATTAAAGATACCTGCATGGTCTGTTCTGTGCAGAATGACAAAATTCTAAATTATTTCTTTACTCAAACCTCTGTAACTTTGCTCCAGTTAACTTTAGCAGCGTGAATCTTTGCACAGGTAATGCCCACAAGTGGATTTATGGTTTCCCAGAGATTTTAGCCTGATTCATTATGGTTTTAAAAAGGTTATACACTGTCTAATGAAAAAAATTTCACGTGAGAGTGAAAAAAACAAAAAAATTATGCTCCATCCCCACTATCTCTAAAACCACAGCAGTTGTTTTAATACTTACACTGATGAAATCTCCTAAGTGTTAGCTTTATTTTGATACCAAGATTTTTTTAAGAAGAGTTTGTAAATGCTGAGATACACTGAACTACATTTCGGCATCGTATTTTGAGCAACACCTTTAAGAAAACCCCTTGGGGCTTAAGAGGTTAATTAAAAACTGTAGTTATGGATTTTATACTGTTGTTAGTTTGATTCGTGTTGTAGTCGCTACAGTGTTGTCATAAAAATGAAATTATCCAGAGTAAATAGTYTGAACTCGGCGTGAACACAGCAATGTTTTATTTGTTGCTTTGGTGGTATTAGCTCAGACGCTGTGTGGGYCTGCAGTAACAGCTGAAAGCAGCATAGATATACTGTAACCAGTTATGTTGAGGATTATGCCTGGAGGGAACCGGGCAGACGCAGTGAGCGGGAGGGAGACACAGAAGAGATAAGTTGTTGATTTGTAGGAGTGGTGAGCGACCAGCCGGGCCATCTGTTCAGCTTCCATGTGATTTAAGCAGAGGAAAGACAATAGACGTGCTCTGAGRCCGACACAGATACAGCCTGATACAGTGTTGTGTCGTGCCATATGGGACATAAAGGTTTAGAGAGCTCAGATATGACCTGCTTTAGGCTTCCCCACCTCTCATGACCAGAAAACACTAGATGTCATGGTAGGTTCCCTAGTTGCACAACCTTGGTTTAACTCATTGTAAAAAAAAGACATTATATAATCTAGGGGAAAAAAACAGTTAATTAAAAGTCAATGTCATGGACTGCCAGCCCAATTTCTCAGCAACGCTTTGGTTTACTGTTCTTTCAGTCCAAGAGACGGTTGTATCAGAGGAGATCATGCACAACTTGGACACGTGTGAGGTGTCTGTGGTGGGAGATGATCTGGACGGAGAACACGAGAGCTTGGAGTTGGACCAGTCCCAGCTGCAGCAGCGCGCCCTGGAGATGAGGTCATCGAACCTGGGCCTTGTCATCACCGGTACACACCACAGCACTTTATTTACATTTGTTAACTAGAAAAAGGAAAATCAATTTATTGTAAAGTTCTAGTCATTTGCTTGTAAGAGTTAAAACGATCTGGATATTTATTTAATTAAAATAGATCTGCTGCAAGTTCACTAATGAACTTTTTCATTAGTAATGATTTGATGGAACAGATCCGGCAGTTCGTTGAGGTTTCTTGTATTTCAGGTGTGAACACCATGGCAAACTACGAGCAGGTCCTGCACCTGATCCGCTACAAGAACTGGCACACCGAGGCTCTCTTTGACAGGAAATTCAAGCTGGTCTGCTCCGAGCTCAACGGTCGCTACATCAGCAACGGCTTCAAGGTCGAGGTACGACGGAGCTGTTTCRTCTCACACACAGACACACACACAAAAACAAAGCGACCATTTCCAACAACCCAGGATTAACTGGCTGATTTTTCCAGGTTAATGTGATCCACACTGCCGATCCTGTGGAGCACGCCAACAACGCCATGGTGCAGGCCAACTTTATTAACCCCGTTCATCACGCCTCCGTGGACCTGTCTGGTCACAATCTGGTCAACGCCCACCAGGCCTCAGGTACAAAGAGCCTGACATGAAATGCAAAACAAAGACTCATTTTATTTTGTTTTTTGTTAAACCAAGTCTGTTTATTTTTTATGGTTTTAGTGTAAAACCTTTTTAATGAAACATGTCTGCAGTCTTAAGCCTTATTTGCTGGGGATTAGTATTAACAGGAGGCTTCATTTAGGATAGAAAGGACTCCTTCCCCCAGTCCCCCAGTTACACGTCTGTGTTTTTTGTAGAATACACAGTTGTGTGTTTTACCCAGATTTGCTGACATTATCCCTTTATATAATGTCAAGGTTCATAACAAAGACATTGACTAAAAGTGTTAGAAACCTAAATAAATTGAACTTGCTAAAAGGCAGAAAAAAGCGTTGCTCGTGGTTCGTAAGCTGATTTTGGGTCAGTGGTATTGAGCAGCAGAAACCCTGCGGTCAAAATGATGTCAGTTTTCAAACAGACAGGAGCAAAAATATAAAAATAAAAAATACAAAGGTGACAAAGTTGCTGACTCGTGATCACCATGTTTAGTGAGAAAATTTGAATTAGTTTAAAGGAGAAAGCTTGTCTAAAATTGATATTTTATAAATAAGAGCATGGCAACTTCCTTATTTATTGTAAACACTTCCGATTATTTAAAGTAAAAAAAAAAACAGTTAATATGTAATATTTTCCTATGAACTTAAAACTGTAAAAGAATAGCATGTTTAGAGGAAATAAAGCATGACAGACATTTTACAAAACTGACTAAACTCATGATTCAGCTTTGAAAACTGCCGACTTATTGTCTGTTTTGGTGTGAGGTTTTTAAGACCAAAGGTCAAAATCAAAGCAGTAATCCATGTATTTGTAGCTGCAGAAAAAAAATAATGGTCTGTTTTAAAGCAAGCGCTGCCGCAGACAGATTATAGTATATTAGGCAGAAGTAGGGCGAGTGTGRAACATGAGTTGTTTTCCCCCCTTTTTTTATGCTCGTTTTATGGCAGAAGTTTAGGGATTACGTCTGTGACATTTGCACAGGCCGTGCTCCGAGCACAACCTTTTATTCTGGCCTCAGTAATCTTCCGAGCTCACCAGGATTGGCACGGCRCTGAAGAGGCCCGTTCCTGATAATGTGAGATAAAGTGGAGCAGTTAGGTGCGAGACAGGCGACGCTATTTAAAGAAAGACTCACACCTTAAGCTGAAGCTCTGAAACATCATGAGGCTGCTGCTCCTGAAATGTCCTTGTGTTGTCCCGTTAAAAAAAACAACAACTGTACTTCTGATCTGWCCTCTCGTTTTGTGTTTTGCTTCTTGGCAGTGGTTCCCAGTGCTGCCACCATTGTGATTGTGGTGTGTGTGAGCTTCCTGGTGTTTATGATCATCCTGGGCGTGTTCCGCATCCGAGCTGCGCACCAGCGCACCATGAGAGACCAGGAGAGCGGCAAGGAGAACGAGATGGACTGGGACGACTCGGCCCTCACCATCACAGTTAACCCCATGGAGGTAAAATAAGTAACGTGTTTGAGCAAAATACCTTTTGACATAAATTGTATTTAGCACAAAAATGTAAGGAAATTAGTGTTTGGTAGATTATTTCTTTGCTTTAACAATGCAACTTGCAATAAATCGTATTGCAGCCACCTGATTGGCAGCACCTGGGGGGGACCAGAAGCTCGAAAAAAGTCAATAGCAAAAACAAAATAAGCTGTTTGACAGAGAAGATTTAGCACATTTTTCATGTTTGCGATCCACATACGCAGCTCTACTGCTCATGCCATGCATGTTCCTTACAAATGTGGCACCATTTAAAAGAGAAATTAACAGTTTTTCTAACAGATTTATTGCCAAGAAGCACAACAAAGAAATAATTTACCAAACACAAATTTCATTTCTTTTTGTGCTTAATTTAGTTCCCCTGCAGCCCAAACCCTGTGTGATTAGTGTGGTCCCTGTGTTATGAACAAACTCAAACAAATATTTATTTAAAAGACTAGAGGGTGGTGAGTTTACTTCCTTATATGCAGGTAATATCACTACTAATTTGAAATAAAAATATATTTTTTTCTGATCAGTTGTCGCTTTTGCTTCAAGCCAAAGAAACATTTTTTTCCATCTAAAAGTAAAAATAAACAATGTAAAAATAAAAATAGTATGCTCAGAGTATTCATCACTTTTATTTTAATAATTATTTTTGCTGTGATTATTATTTTATTGCTGTTTTGCTGCAGCAAAGTCTGCTAAATGAGACCTCATTTGGAAAAAATTAAACCTGAGTTATAAAATACAAACTGTTCCATCTTCTTGTACTTTATACATAAGGATAATGAAACTAATTAGACGACCTCACATTTAGATCTTATGTGTTTAATYGTTAAACTTTGAACCAAACCGTTTTTTTGCATAAAAAACAATTTGAATAATGGATTTGCTTCAGTAATTTTTTTTAAACGCAGTGAACAAAAGTGCATTTAATTTTTTTTCTACGTATTTAATTTTAGATTGCTGTAAGATTTGTTTATCCCAGTGCAGTCGGGACTGTTGAAATAGATATAAAAACACTACAAGATTAAGTCTCATGAGACTTTGTTGTTAAAGCTCTAAATATAGCCGCAGCTTACAGGAATACATACGAACAAAACTRCTGCGGCTCGAAGCCATTTTATGAATACAAAATACTGAGAACTGAACAAAAATTAGGAAGGAAACATCTAYTGAAGAACAAACAACAGGACTGCCATCAGCTTCTAACTTAAGCTGTAATTTTTTTTAGYTAAAACTGTTGAATCTTTAAGGTATTTAAGGTATTTTTACTTTTGCTCAATTGTTTTTTCAAGTACACCTCTGGTGAACGTTCCTGGTCTAAGATTGAAATATTCACTGATAAATTTCACAGACGTGCTAAGCCCTTCATAATACTGTTTAAATTACATCAACACTTCAAGCTTTTGTCAGATGGGTGTTGGAAGTGGGATAAAAGGAAAAAAAATCAATGTAAAGTTTTTAGAGCACATTTATAGAAAACCTGTTGTTTGTTTTTATTTGGTTCCCAGACGATTCAGAGGTTCACTAAATGTTACTGTTCTGGTCTCAGAAAAAGGTTTTTCCCCCCCACCTAAAATCCATCCTTGTTTGTTTGTTCTTTGTGACACAGACGTATGAGGACCAGCACAGCAGCGAGGAGGAGGAAGAGGAGGAGGAGAGCGAGGATGGAGAGGAGGAAGATGACATCACGAGCGCTGAGTCAGAGAGCAGCGAAGACGAGGAGGGCGGGGAGCCGGAAGACCAGCAGGGGACCAGCAGACAGCAGCAGCTGGAGTGGGACGACTCCACCCTCACCTATTAAAACGAAACCCTACATAAGCTCTGATACACACACACACACACACACACACACACACACACACACACACACACACACACACNCACACACACACACACACACACACACACACACACACACACACACAAACACACACACAGATAAAGCCGAGTCACACTCACCGCTTCACGCACTCCATGCAGTTTCATGTTTAGGAGCCATGATGTAAAAAAAGAAAAAAAATTCCTTCAGCATATAAGGTCAAGGCTTTCCTGTTGTTATCTTAGTGGTGGTACTCAGTGTAGTGTATTCATCACCAGATTGCTGATGTTCACTTTTCTTTTCTTTTTTATATATATATATTTATTATACTTTAATTCCTTGGAAAAACTTGGCCTACATTTGTTTTGAACTGTGTGAGGAAGCCAACCCTGCACTTTTTTTTGTTCTCTCTCAGACRCTCAGAAAGAGAATCCTTTGGATTTCCTGATGTATATTCTTTGCTAATGCTTTTTAGGTTCGCTAATTTCTTTTGTAGCTTTCGACTTTGGGTTTTCTTGAATTGTAGTACACGGTGGAACAAGTAGGCTGCTTTTTCTCTCTCTCTTTTTTTTATTTGACTTTATTTAGTGCATGAGGAAATTTGGGGAGTCTTACGTGTAGAGAAACAAGTTGCTTTTTAAAAATCTTGTAAATATGAGAAAAACAACATGTAATTAGTCGATGTGTCAGTAAAGGCCCGCTGAATCGGGTCGGATATCTAAAAAGACGCAGTACGCAATGTAGAATATTTGTGTCACACAGGCTGTTAGCATGTCGCTGAATTTCTGCAGAAGCTATTCCATCATGCTTGTACAAAAAGTCTGCCTCGTGAGGAGAAACCCAGGACTGTTATGTGGAGGTTTCCATGACAAATTGGTGTCCATTTTGTCTTTTTTGTTTTTTTTATTTTTGCAAGGCGTGAAATCGATTATTATTATTATTATTTTTGCTTTCTTGTAGGCAGGACCGCTTAATGGTTTTCAGCTTCATACAGGCTTCGCTTTGCTTGCACAGGTGGCAACGCTCTACCCCTGGTGTTCATGTTTATTTCAGTAGAGCTCACTGTTGTACAGTTAAGAGTTTTTTTTTTTTTTTTGTCAAAGAGTAATCACGTTTGGAATTATGCTAATATACAAATCAACATTTGGTGCGATACTTGGGAAACAGCAGGAAGGCGAGGCTGTTTGTTTTCACATACTGGTGGTGATTTGGACAAGCAGAGGTTTATTTAGCAGCTTTTCACTCCTGTTGCGCTGACAAGAGTAAGATGAAATAAAACTACTGAAATTAAATCAATTTGGAGACTCTTTGGATTCTGAGAGAAGTGAAAGAAACAGATTGTTTCGTTGCTAATTTTTTTCCACGACACGACAGGTTGATTTTAGATCATTAAATCTTTTAGATGCATTTTAAAACTGTTTTCCTTCTGCATCACATACTTTATTATTATTATTAAGTGATTTACAAAAACTTAAGGAAAACACTTTAAAAATGAATCTTCCTATTTACATCTGATGTATTCTTCTAAATGTACATGGAGCTGTACTGTAGAGGTGTTCCAGATTATTTGTTTACATTTCGTAAACTTCTTTTCCTGTTGGTCTAATCCATTGAAAGCKTTTACAATTAATTGGGAAATAATTTCCAACCTCTCTCCTTTCAGACCCTGTTGTCCGTAACTGTTGTAAATATATATATGCTTTTAACAAACCAGATAATGACTTTAATGCTTCACTGTTTTATTGTTAGGTGTTTAGGTGCTCAGAGCTGCGGTTATTTAGGACCAGATTTGGAGCATTGCAATGTGCAGGAAGTGGCATTACCAAGAGTAGAAAAGCTGGATTTGCGACATTTTTTTCTTTTTCATATTCCACACGACACGTTTGCTATTTTTTTTATGTATACAGCTTCTTTTAAGGGTTTAAATAACAGATTTGACGTTGATTATTGTTATTTTTTACGTCTATGGTAGAGAAGTAATGACCAGTCTCCCTTCCATGATGACTGGGACTCGTCAGAAACGCGGGGCCAGGTCTGAGCCGGCTGAGATGGGGAGTGCCTTTTGCCGATCATAGTGTAATTAGCAGGTCTAACAAAAACACTTTTTTCCCCTTGTTTTTTTTTTTTTTTTTTTTTTTTTTACATTCTGCATTTTAACATTTATTCAACAGTAGATTTCTTACATAGCTTAGAAGACGTTTTCTTTTGGTTGGTAGTCTCTGTAGTCCACCACTAGTTTTATTGAACGTGCAGCCATTCTGCATAGAGTCACGTGTCCTTGTTGTGTAGAGAAAGTAGATCCATATTGTATCTTCTCTAAATATTGTACTGAATCCACCTTTCAAAGCTGTACAGTACATTATGAAATTGCTTTGGCAGCATACATGGGCATCCTTCTAACTGACCTGTGGGTGTGGAGTGGAACGTCTCCATCAGCGTCTTATTGCCTGAAAGGTTGAGAAATGATTTTGAGGGCAGCATGAAGTTCACACGATTACAAAAAATAAACAAAAAAACAAGTCACTTATGATTTTTTTTAAATTTTCTGAGTTAGTTTTCAGGGTTTGCACATACACTGACTCTGATGTTAAATGGTTGAATCGTTATACCACTAGAGAAAATGAGCTTTGCATGAGCCACGGGTTTGTGTCGGATCCATGTTGGGTAGAGACGGGGATCAGAGAGGAGCTGTGATACACTACTGATTCTCAATCTGTTTCACACATCAGTGACACTCCAGTTATGACCTTTGTTTTCCTGTTCAATTTTTTTTCTTTCTTTGCTCAAATGGACGATGGTGATAATTTTCAGAAAGGGTGGATGCTTCCTTTGTGCTTTGTTGGAGCTGCTCTCACTTTTCTACCAACTGAAACATGAATTGTAGTGAAGTCGATGCTCGCTCTTAAACAAAATAAAGGACGAAGAGATGGGATATGAACTCTGTCGGCTCTTGTTTTTGTTCATCAGCATTCAGTATCTCTGTTGAAGGGCCAGCTCAGGAGCAGAACACGCCCTGGGTGGTGCCACTGAAAGTCTGGGGCAATGGCTCCCCCTGGTGGTGAGAAGAAATCCTGCAGAACTCTTTTTAAACTCTTGAACCTTTAAAACTCAAGAAAAAAAATTTAAAATATCTTTAAAGCCAAGTAGAAAACCTGGTTCTGTAACAAAATATGTTTTTTTTTGTTTTTTGTATATATAAAGGAACCTAAAGCTAAATTATTGTCTGCAAATCAGTCGACTGAAGCAGCTTGAGAGGCTTTCTGAGCAAAGAATAAAGAATTTTATAAAATCAAACTAATAATCTTTACGTAGAATCTATTATCTAGACTAGAATCATAATGGATTTTTTTTAAATTATATTTTTATATATGTTTGCACGATACTATCTTAGTTTTAACACTATAGGCGTTATGGGTGACAAAGGGAAACCTTAGTTTATAATGTGATGTTGGATAATATCCTAGTTAGGGCTGGGCGATAAATCGATTAATTTGAATTTGCCATTTATAAAGATTTAATTTTGGGAAAATCAAGATTTTTTTTCCCACCAGTGCACTCTTTTGGGCTTCTGTAGTTCAGAGGTCACCTCACCTGTCCCTCAAGACACTTGGTACATGACATGACAATATGACAGCTAGCAGAGAGGATCAACTTCCCAAAAAGGCACTGTTTCTTCAGTTTTCTGGAATTGGTTAGGTTTTTGCAATCTCAGACTTGGAGCAACGAACACCTCACTGCAAAATCTGTTTGAAGGCTCTTGCTACAAAAAGTAGGAGTACAACAAATTTGTTTCGACACCTGAAACAGAGACTCCATTAAGTGGGAAGCAAAATCGATTAAAATCGAAAACCGAATTTAGGATGAAAAAAATCGATTTTTTTTGGCCATATCGCCCAGCCCTAATCCTAGTAATAATAAAGTTTTTCAGTTTTTTTTTTCCAATAATCAGACTGCTCTGAATTATATCTGTTCAGGCTGCCACTATTTCAAACCACACATTTTCTGATAAAACCTAAATAAAGTTGTCAATGTTGTCATTATTCCTAATAAAATATCCTTTAGCAGAGCAGCTGGTGTTTTAAATAAATTGGCTTTAACTCCTTTCCYCAAAGCTCTTAGTTAATTTAAAACAAGCTAATTTCAGAAATGGCATATCAATTGCCTAACTATCATGCTAAACATGTTTGAAAACATCTGCATTTTTAGTTKATCAGTTTACAAGGCTTTTATTTTGTACCTTATTATGCATTAACTTATTTGCCAAAGCAAAAGTTTAAAGAGAATAAATTAAAATCATACGAGACACAGAGGACGGTCGTTGAATGCCTTCAAAGATTAAATTTATTGTGACTCCACGTTTTGCACTTGAGATTTGTGAAGAGTCTGCTTCCTTTAGTGTTTCTTGTTTTGTTCAAAGCCTAAAAGGGGAAGCTTTTTTTAAGTTATTTACTTTTTTATGGATGTTTTTGTCTCTTGTAAAGGAAGTCAACATCTTAAAATCACCAGAGAAATGTTCAAGTTTTAAAAGAGAAACGGCAGCACAATGCACAACACAATATTCTTCTTTTAGTTTGTAATCATTGGCATATATTTTTTTGACGATTGCACAAAATGTAAGAAAAGTAATGTTTTGTTGATTTTTTTTTTTTGTCATAACAATACTTCTTGACAATTAAATTTCTGTTGTTGGAAAGAAAATGCATCCATGGGTTGAGCTCATAAAAAAATGGCCAAATCTTCTTTGCCAATGTCAAACAGCTTGTTCTGATGCCTCTTGATTCGAGCTTCTGGGACCCCTGCAGTCCTGACCTAAACCTCATGGAATCAGCTGATGTTTGCTGTTAGAGTGACCAACACAACCAAGCAGGTGGCAGGCTGTTGTGGCTGTGTATGGTTCTTCCACATCCTACTGAGGCCCGTTTCTTAAACGAATCACAAAAAAAAGAAGAAAAAAAAAAAAGGATTTGGCAAGCTGAATTTCCCCTCTGCGGGACAATAAAGGCTATTCTATTCTATTCTATTCTATTCTATTCTATTCTATTCTATTCTATTCTATTCTATTCTATTCACAAGTGTGACCCACATACTGCTCATCCAACAAATGTATTTTACTAACAAATGTGGAACCATCATGTGAAAATAAAGAGGTTTTCGGAATAAGATTAATTGTCAAGGTGAATCGTTATAATAAAGAAATAATCAACCAAACACAACGGTCCTTACTTTTTGTGCTGAGTTTAAACATCAAATCACATCTTCGTACCAACATTAATACAATCCAGCACTAAAACAAATAAAAGACATTTATAAAAGCTAACAAGTATAAAACAGCACTATTAAAAAGAGTTAGCTTCTAAAGGAACACTTAAAAATGCACTGAATATTTACAAGACATGTAATCAGTTGGCACAATTCTGTTTTCATAAAAACATTAATTTTTAAAATGAACATTTTCTGAACTTGCTATGCTTTGTTTTTGACTCCAGAGCTAGCTAAAGCCATAATTTTGTCCTCGGAGCCTGAAAAAGGAAAGAAAAACAAAGTATTGTGTTATATTGTTATATTAAAGCTGAAGATTTGATTATTAAAAACTAAGATGCTTATGCTCACCCAGGTTTGCTGTCACTTTTTCGAACTGGCTCAGAGTAGCTGTAGCATTTTCTATAAGAAATGCCTCTTCCTCTGGAGTTAGCTGTTTAAAAAAAAAAGATTGAAAGAGTATTTTCAAATTGGTGATTGTCGCTTTTGGTACTTGACTGGATAAATGGGTGCAGAATTGAAACTTGTGAATTGAACTGGTGAGCTCTGGAGAGAAGCTGCCTCACCTTCTCTTCGAGTTTTTTCAAGGCCATGAGGATTTCCATCTTCTGCTGCGTGTGGACGTCCCGCGACAGTTTCCCCACCATCACCTCTCGGTCCATCTGAACAGAAATCCACACAACCCGTTAGACAATTTTCATATAGAGCAATGCACACGAAAACATTGAACCTAGATCAGAAACAACATTAAACCCTGCTGAGCAACAGCTTTAGCCTGAYTGGGTCATTCACCTGAACTCCAGTTGTTTGCATCAGTATAAAAACAGGTGGAGAACTGATTCATCGAGCAAAGCAGAGATATGTGACGCACTGTGTTCTGCCTCCCAAACCAAATCAACAGACTACAAGTTTAGTTACTAAACTCAGGGTTCATGCAGGTTTCAGTAAGTTCAATTTAAGACCTTTTAAGACCATTAGGAATGGCATTTAAGACCAAACYGACACACAAACCGGTCCMTKAGGTCTGCTGACCAGCTGGCCGTTCCCACCTGTAAGAGGACGCTTAGAGGAGAAAGAGCTTCCTCTGTTTGTGACCCTAAGCTCCATTGCTCATGTGACAGTCCCCCTCATTGTCCATTTTTAATACCCGTCTGAAGACACACTTTTACTCAGTGGCCTTCAACCCAATTGAGACTTGATTTTATTTAATTTAAGTGATTTTTATCTGTTTTTATCTTCTTTTTATTTTTATTTTTTGCTGATGTTCAGCACTTAGTTCAGCTGTAGCTGGTGTTGAGGTGCTTTATAAATAAAGTTGATGATGATGATGATGATGACTAACAAAAACATTCAAATGGTCCCAAACATTTTAACAAACAAACCTTTTATTGCTATCAATTAAAGAATATTTAATTTTAATACAAGAACACTGAATTATTTTAAAGAAATGGTCATATCTACGAGACCTTCACATGGGCTGCTGTGGACTGCTTCCAAACTGAGTGCAAAAATCACTGATATCAAGCCAAGTGTCATTGAAAACAAACTTTCCCATGTTTAAACCACAAGCATTKGACATGACTGAACTTCTTTCATTTTTGGGCGGGTGAACAAGCTGCTGTATGCAGKGGGGAGCTGTAGTGGCAAAGAGGTCAAAAACATGGAAGTGAACTGTGCCGCTTTTTTCCTGCAGTTATCACGGGTTTTGTAGTTTAACCATGTACCACGACCAGTAGCAATTAGCACTTCATGAAGCCAGACTGTGTCAACCTCTGATTACAGAGCTTTACTCTGYTTATTTATGCAGCCAACACTTCTGGGAATGACCGAAAGTAAAAAAAAGAAAAAAAAGAAAATGAGACTTGACAAAATAAAATTTAAGACCTTGGATGAAAATCTGGCGTTTTTAAGTCTTTTATTAGGTCTAAAATTTTGATTTTCAAATTTTAGACTTTTTAAAACCCTGCATGAACCCTGTAAGCTGGTACCCAGGTTTACAGCTCTCTGCATCTCGTAAATGTTGCAATATATATATTTTTTCTTCTATTTCCAGGTTTATACCAACAGAATTGGTGGAACATGTGTAGTGTGAGTTAACTGCAGCAGAACGTGTAAATGTAGAAATGAGTTCACTCCCAGCTGCCTTGTCTGGATGTGTCAGTCCAACTTTGTTTGTTTTAGTTTCAGATGGATTAAAATACTTTAAACCAACTGATTAACGTCTGTTCATTTGTCTGTCTTGGTAGCAAATTATCCCATGAACTCCCTTCTATAACGGTAACGCCAACTTAAAAACACACAACATGGCTATAACTCAATCAGTTTTACAGTTTAAAGTTTGGTGTGGTAGTAGCTGAGTGTCTCCTCTATTTATTGCCTTATAACAATGTAATGTTAAACAGGAAACCTTTGGGTCACAGCAACAGGTCTCCCTGATGGTTTGTCTCTGTAGGACAATGCAGCTAACACTTAATACTGGCTCACGTGACAAAAACGCCAATCATCAAAATCCCCCAAACTCCAATCGTATCATAAGAGATTGTTGCACGTTTGTCAGCCCAAACCTCTGCAAGTCTAGTTCTCAGCTGCCCCGGCTGCTTCTTTGCAAAAAGTCGGATCACTTCRGGCGTCTTGAAAGCTTGGCTGATGGCAGCTTGGGTCGCCTAGTGGAGACAGAAATAGCCTTCTTAACCACTCACAAATGAGAGAAAAAAAAGTTGCTTTCTCTCTATAACCACGTAATAGATGCATGTGTCAAACTGAGCTCGATGTCCTTAAATGTCCCCACCAGCTGCATCCCACTGAGCTCATCCACCAGAGTCATGTCTCCTGTCATTATCTTCTTCAGGGAGTCGTTGAATTCACCCAGCTGCTCCAGGGTCTCCCTTTTTGTCTCCTCGTACTCCTCCTCATCTAGCTCTTCTCTGGAGAAAAACAAACAAGCGATAAGAAAGGAGAACAGATAAAAGGGGAAGTGATTGATTTCTCTACACAGCACCTGCAATCCTCCAGGTCCTGAAGCTGCTGCATTAGTCTGTCGAGTTGTTCTTCCATGTTCTGCTTTAATTTGCTGGTTTCTGATTTCCCACGAGAAGCCATTCTCTGGTATAAAGTTCAGTTTCCAAACTTGGAGGACGAAAAACAACAAGAAATGTGCTGAGGGAAATCACTCTAATGGCTAAAGCTTGTAAAGCCTGATATTACGACTGTTATAACAAGAGTTTTATCAGGTTATAAATAAASATAAACAATACTGATATGCAGGACAAATGAAAAATTAAGCTTTTGTGCAAACAGTGAAAGTAGCATAGTAAGCTTTTTAGCAAGCTAGCATGGCTAAACTGATAAAGCATCTCACCGACACTCCCTTTGTGAACAGTTGTAAACAGGTAGGTGGACGTTTTTGGGTCAGCTTGAGGGGGTGTACGGTAAAACARTGAGAAACACTAAACAAATACCCCMAAAACACGTGATAACACAAATAAAAGAAGCGTTTACTTTTCGACTTGGGCCGTGTGACTTCAGGGTTTGTGATTGTGAACGTAACTCAGTAGCGAGGGTGTGGTTATGGCAGGCCGTTGCACACTATATTCAAAAGACACTATTTAAATTACTTTTTTTAAAAAGATATCACCAATAGCATTTATCCAAATAAAAATCAAATTCATACTTGTCAAAATTAAAATTAAATTAATCTAAAATTGCATTCGTACAAGTAAAATGCCAT